GAACTGAGCGAGGAACAATGCGAAGTGTCCCCACAGAAGACACTAATGAGACACTGGGAGAAAGAAATCAGACTAGTCTCACAGAAGCTGGCCCGGATGACCAGGACCAGCAATCACAAACTGAGCCTGACGAGCTTATCCACAGTCAACCATCTAGTCCTGAAGGAGGCTCGGATACGAGTCTAACCGGAAGGGCTCTCAAGGATAAGCTTAGGGAGCTATTCGATGCCTATTATAAAAAGGCAAGAGAATCCCATGAAAGGCAACCAATAAGGAGGCCCAAAGGAGATATACCCGAGGGCATGCTCCAGTTCGCTAACGAGATTATTCTCGAGAAACTGGAGCGACTCAACTCCACCAATAAACGAACTCTAACAGCCTTAAACGCTGCAGTGTATGCCGTAGCCAAAGCCATAACAACGGTCTTGCTAGAAGGCGAAGCAGAGAAAACGGGGTTAATGTACCAGAAGCTGAGAGAATCTAAAGCGCTGAGGAGCTCTCTTGTGGGCATGATCTCAACGCTATCGCACGAACTCAGCAGAAGGGCTAGAAACCGTGGTGCTCCCACCGAGCAATATCTGCAAATCGCCAGAATGCAAAGAGTTTCAACGACCACAGAGGTCCAGCGACTCCTGGCAAGATTCAAGGATGAGCTGAAAATTGTAAACTCTGAAGTGAGATTGAAAGAGACTGCCCTAAAGCGCCAAAAAGAACGACAGAGGGGTTACCCAGCTGTTGCAAGGGAGCCACGAGAAAGGGAATCTGATGTACCAGTTGCGGAGGTGCGTGAGCACTTGGAAAACCATCATTGGAGAACCGCAGCCGTTCTACATATCAGATGACCTAAGATCGTGGGCCAACACGGTGCCAAGAGACAGAAACTCGGCTAACATGGTCCTGTCTGAGGAAACGTGGACGAGTATATTCGCCAAGATGAAACCTTGGAAAGCAACAGGGCCAGATGGCATACAGGGGTTCTGGTGGAAAAAGATACCTGAAGCCAAAAAGCGGCTGGTGGCATGGTGCCAAGAAGCACTGTGTAAGCCACGTATCATTCCGAGATGGTTATGCAGAGGAAAGATCGTTTTGATCCCAAAAGGAAACTCTGAGGCCCGCGGGCCCGGAGATTACCGCCCGATAGCATGTTTGAATACATGCTATAAAGTTCTAGTGCGAAGCAGATACTCCAGAGCGCAGGTGATGTGCTCCCTCCGGAGCAGGTAGCCTTGCGCAAAGGGATCTGGGGCTGCACTCCATGCGCATATTTTGGATCAGACGATCTGTAAAGACGCCTTAAGGCGCAAAAACGTACTGCACACCTTATGGGTAGATATGACCAAAGCCTTTGACTCGGTGTCCCATGGCGCCATTAAGTGGATATTGGCCAGAGCTGGAGTACCATACCCCACTAGGAGATTGCTCTCAGCTATAATGGCCAAGCAAAGCGTTCAATATTGTGGGACCCACAACGGCAAGATGGTCAAGAGTGAACCGCTAGAGGTCAAGAAGGGCGTGATGCAGGGTGACACACTCAGTCCGCTCTTATTCTGCATGGCAATCACCCCAATATCGGCGTGGCTGAGAAATAACATCAGCCCGTACAGGACATCAACTGGGGCGATGATGATGCTAGAAGGACCACTAGAGATCAACCATCTTTTCTATATGGATGATCTGAAGGTTTACTCACCCAAATGGGATGATATAGTAGAAAGCCAAAGAGAGGCATAGAAAGAGTTGCTGGAGCGCTAGGATTACGGATGAATCCCAGCAAATGCGCTGTGAACTCATTGAACCAGCCCCAGCTAGGAATTTCATCACCCGGGATGGAAGACATACCAATCTTGGGTTCTAGTTCGCTCTATAAATACTTAGGAGCGGAACAAAACGCCCTAATAAATATGGAACAACTATGGGCCCGCACAATAGAAAAGGCCTTAGCTGCAGCAAAAAGGATTATGCTCAGCGATCTTGCGGTTCGCAAAAGATCAACGGGTATAACCAAGTTGTTTTCCAAGACTCAAGTATGCCATCTCGTGCATAATCTATGGCACAGGGAAATTCGGCACAATGAGGAAACAAGCTAGGGCGTTTGATGAGTCGATTCGCAAGCTGCTGGCAGAATCGCGGATGCGGTTTAACCACAGCTGCACACCAAGACTCTATGTTAACAAAGAAGAAGGGGGACTCGGATTGAAATCGGCAGAGGAGGAAATGGAACATACCGTGGTATACACATGGTGCTTACCTCTCCTCAAGGCCTGAATTCGAAATCCCTTATAGTCTATGCGAAAGCCTACGACGCAGCAATAAAAGATCACTGACATCGGACTTCCGAGCCGTAATGGCAGAAAACAGACTTGAGAATGAAGTCAAACGTCTTGCCCAAGCCAGCATTCAAGTCAAAGACCGCACGTTCGCGACGCCTACGGAGGCTGCGCGAGCTATTTCGACCCTGGTTCACGAACGATGGGCTCGAACGCGAATGCATGAATGGAGGCAAAGGGCAGTGGCGAGCAGAGTGATCAGTGAGGACGATGGGCATCCACACGTCTGTCTAAAGGACTCCTTCTTGTGGTCCCAGACGGGATGGGTCTCCTCTGAAGTCCTCAGAAATGTGTGGGCTGCACAAGAGGCTTCGCTGCCGACCAAAGGTAGTGCCCCAGGCCAAACAATCTGGGCAAACAGCAATCAGTTATGCCGTATGGGTGTAATGCCAAAGAAACGGCAGAACACATAGTATCCGCATGTAGCCACTGGAGAACGAACATCATGGTTGAACGACATGATGAGGTTGCCAGGGTGATATACTACTCGCTGAAGAAGAAATACGGTCTCACATCCAGGAACACTAACACACATGTACCACATGTGTTGGAGGGGGATCACGTAACCCTACACTGGAACGATCGTATTGTGACGAGAGAACACTTGCGGCATGATAGGCCTGACATTGTAGTCAAAGGACCTGAAAGAAAAGATTATATGGATCATTGAGATTTCAGTCTCGTGGTTCACAAGGATCACTCAGCAAGAGCTGAAAAAGGTCCGAAAATATGGAATGAATAGCTGCTTACCGAAGGGAACGGATCCAGAGGATTTCTTCCCTGGTCCGAACCTAAAAGCAGCACTACAAGCACAGCACAGAATGAGGGTAGAAGTCGTACCTATCGTAATAGGGACGTGTGGCGAATGTACCCCGGACCTACGTAGGTATGTCAGACTGCTTAAGCTGCCTGATGGCACGAAAGCAGTCATGGAGAAAATGCAAAGATGTGCTGTGCTTGGAACTAACAGGAATTATAAAATGTCACATGTCCAACGAAGACATGTAGACAAATCGAAGAAACGAACAAGCTGTAGTGCAAAGGAAGAGGCATGAGCCTGAAACCTATGACACTCAGCATACGGGACGTTCGTTTTCTATCCATGCGCGCAGAAGGCCACAACGGCATTAAAAAGGGGTCGGATCTGCGGTTAAATGTGACCGCGGAGGAGTCCAGGTTGCCTCGAGCAATGTTGCATAGGAAGCGGCCCAGTGGGTTGAGGAATGGGAGGGCAATCAGAAAAACCTGACGTACATGAATGGATTTACGAGATTCCCATTGTCCCTAACTACTGTCTGGCGAAACCACAGTCAAGGGACTGGAGCTGGAAAAAAGGTCTGATGCTCCGCGATGAGAGCCATAATAAAGCCCGTTCCCCAATGCCAGGAGAAGGATGAGAGCAAAATTGGGAATAGCAATTCGTGGTTTGCAGGAAATGGAGAGCCACCGCAGCGCTGATCTTGGCGAATGTTGCGGATAGAGAGATCGATGCCGCGACCTACAGCAGTTGATCTAGAATCGTTGAAGTTACAGCAGTTGATCTACCATTCGATGAAGAGTTTTCGGTGTTCCCAACGTTCACAAATGAATAAAATGGGTATCGTTATGTGCAGATTTGCATGGGATACATTGGGCTAGCCTATGTTAGCTGTAAATGGTTCCCCCATTTAACTTGTTGGATAGTGCTAACACTGTCTACATATGTTTGTCGGTGCGCCACGTCGACGTCGTCTCTCGAAATCTCTCGAAATCGCTTTCTTGAGTCTCTCTTGTTTGTGAGCTGTATCAAACATGTTTGTCGATCGCAGTCGTCATTTTGGCGTGCCAAGATGCAACTGCCGCCATTAATAAGCATGGTTACAGATATGGCTCCGGCAGAGGACAGAAAGAAATTGGTATTCTGAAAGAAGTTTTTCAATGTGGTTCATATAAAGTGAGTGGGCTGCAGAGCAGCTGGAACTCCGATACTTTACTAATCCTTTAATTTCAGCAACGGTCGTGTGTCCTTCAATCGTGACGACTTGGCCACGCTTGCTGGAATTGGATCATCTTCGAACGAGGATGGGATGGAAACTTTTCGATGAAGAGTTTTCGGTGTTCCCAACGTTCACAAATGAATAAAATGGGTATCGTTATGTGCAGATTTGAAGGGGATACACTGGGCTTGCTTATGCTAGCTGTACGTGATTTCCCTGTCTTCAAGTGTTGGATAGGTTCAATCCTATCTACATATCTTAGTCGGTGCGCTACGCACGTCGACACAGTCAAAATCGCTTCTCGGTTTTCTTTGTTTCTCTTGCTCGGGAACTTACTGTGAATGCTTGTGAACCGCGATTGTCGTTTTGGCGTGCCAAAATGCAGTCGTCAAGTTAATAAGCATAATTACAGGAATGGCCCCGCGGGTGATAGAAGAAAGCTAGTTTTCTGCGATGCCAAAAAATTTTTCAGTGTTGTCCACGTAAAGTAAGTGAGTGGGCTGTATTCCAGCTATACCTCAGATACTTTACTCTTAATTTCAGTAATGGCCGCGTGTCCTTCGTCAAGGAGGACCTCGCCGAAATCGCTGGAATGGATCTGGACAATGGACTACAAGAACTGCGTGATCGATTGGACAGACTGGAGAAGGAAAAGACGGGCGCTTCGAGAGATTCGCGGAGGAACAAGCCAGGCCCTTCGAAAGAGGCCAAGAGCGAACATGCGGATGATGAAACCCCTCATAATCTCCAGTGGTAGCTCATCTGATGAAGATGAACTGACGATCAAGAGAAGGAAAAAGACCACGTGATGGAAAGTGTCGTGGTTATGTTGTTATGTAGTTATGTTAATAAATGTTGGTTGAGTTGACTTGTTCAGCGATGACCGATCAGTAGTTATACTACTGTACATATATATAGTGGTGTATATTTTTTTTATCCTGAAGGACGTGTTTTAATCGCGTCAATCTGGACTTTGGCTGTAACAAGATAACACGAGACACTTGTTCGGAACTAAGTCCTGCTGTCCTGTATAGATGTCAGACTACTAGTCTTATCAAGGCGTAACCCTATAAGAGCCTTCGATACCTAAGTACTGAGCGATAAGTGTGAAGCGAATACAGGGAATGCTTGCGAACTTCGGATGTTCGAACAAGTAAACCTGTGCCTACTCTCGAACCTCAGTTGCTCTACCATTAACAACCAGCTCAAACAGGTGTTGTTCAAGGAGCTGTTACAGTTCGTATGAACGACCCTATGGGGCTCTCGAGTGTAAAGCACTGAGTGACTAACAACTAGCTAAGGCGGGGAATGCTTGCAGAACAACAGAAGTTCGCTTGAAAACCTGCACGGCTTTGAAACTCTAGTACTGAATGAGGAACAACTAGCTCTTACGCCTTTGAAAGCTATAGTCTGCTTTATCGAAACTGTCTGCGATAGCAGAGAACCTTTAACAACATCACTAGCAACTTCGTGTTGTGCAGGTGACAGGTTGCCGTAAGTCCCCGCAAAGCATCCTTGAATGCGATGGGGCAGCCATGGGAACCGTACGGATGGGCTTGCCCTGTGCGTACCGGTCAGCGTCGCAATAACGAAGTGTCAAGTGAAGTTCAACACAGCACAGTTTTAACTTAGTACCTCGTATTGAGGTAGCAGCTCCATGATCGCATGCAGGTGCCTCTGGGTCCCTGTGTCCTGTAATGATGTGGGCGGAAAGTGGTTGGACCGTAAGCTTGACTGATTACACAATCCTCTGCCATTTCGCTTTTATCCAAGCTGGGCCAGAAGCTTTACGGGATGGTTATACTTATGGTGATATAACCAAACGACCCCTGGGCCATCTGAATGTGCTGTACGGGGAGGTTATACCTCTGTGGTCGGATGAGCTATTAATGCGATAGCTCAGAACCGTATCTGAAATAGGATACGGCGGCCAAGATGTAACCTTTATGAGACAATACGCAAACTGCTTGCAGAATCGCGGATGCGGTTTGGGCACAGTTGCGTCGCAAGGCTCTATGTGAGCAAAGAGGAGGGAGGACTTGGGCTGAAGTCTGTGGAGGAAGGAAATGGAACACACCATCATTTACACATGGTGTTACCTTGCTTCGCACCCGGACTTCCAAGTTCCTTATCACCTATGTGAGAGTCTCCGAAGCAGCAGCAAGCGATCACTAGTTTCCGACTTTAACTCCGTCATGGCGGAGAACAGGTTGGAAAACGACATAGCTCGCTTAGCTCAAGGTTCCATTCAAGTCAAAGAACGCATATTCACGACGGCCACTAGTGCTGCTCGTGCGATCTCGAGCCTTGCTCATGAGCGATGGGCTCGAACGCGAAGACATGAATGGAAGCAAAGAGAAGTAGCGAGCAGAGTGATAAGTAACAACGAGGCGGATGAGCGCCCATACGTCTGTCACAAGGATTCGTTCCTGTGGTCACAGGTCGGATGGGTGTCCTCAGAAGTCTTACGAAATGTTTGGGCTGCTCAGGAGGCTTCCCTCCCTACAAAAGGCAGCGCTTCGGGCCAATCTATATGGGCGAACAGCAATCAGCTGTGCCGAATGCGTTGCAACGCCAAAGAGACAGCAGAACATATTGTATCTGTCTGTAATCATTGGCGGACTAACATCATGTTGGAAAGACATGACGATGTTGCCAGGGTTATCTATTACTCCCTGAAAAAGAAGTACGGTCTTGATTCCCAAGTGACAAACACCCACGAGCCACATGTAGTGGAAGGAAATCAGGTGATATTGCACTGGAACGACCGTATTCTGACCAGGGAGAACCTGAGGCATGACAGGCCTGACATAGTGGTCAGAGACCTGAAAGAAAAAGTAATATGGATCATTGAGATTTCGGTCTCGTGGTTCACAAGAATAGCTCAACAAGAGCTGAAGAAGTTCCGTAAATACGGAATGAACAGCTGTCTCCCGGAGGAGACCGGACCGGATGAGTTCTTCCCCGGCCCGAACTTAAAAGCTGCTTTGCAAGCACAGCACAGAATGAGAGTTGAGATCGTGCCTCTCGTAGTTGGGGCTTGCGGTGAATGCTCTCCTAATTTGCGTCAGTACGTCCGACAGCTGAAGCTGCCTGATGGCGTGAAAGCTGTTATGGAGAAGATGCAAAGGTGCGCAGTGCTTGGTACTAATAGAATAATAAAATGCCACTTGTCCAATGAGGACATCTAGGCATGTAGATGGGGCATAAACACATAAGTGTCTATGCCCTGGAAAGGGTTGAATACCCCATTCTGCACATGTCACATGAGCAGTCAAGCCAGGTGTCCTGAAGGACATGAAGGCATTGCAAGGGACAGGTTTACCTGATCTCGTAAAAAAGGGGGCCGGTGCCCCTTTTCATTCATGCGCGGGCGAAAGCCGTATCAGTAAACGGGTCGGATCTGCGGCTAAGTGCGGTCGTAGAGGATTCCAGGTCCCAGAGGAGACCAGTGGAAACGGCTCAGTGGGTTGTGGTGGGAGGGTAGTCAGCAAAACCTGACGTACATGAATGGATTTACGAGATTCCCATTGTCCCTAACTACTGTCTGGCGAAACCACAGTCAAGGGAATGGAGCTGGAAAAAAGCAAGGAAAGAATACAATGTTGAGCTTGACTCTATCT